ATTGACCAGGGTTCGTTTTTGTTGTTGATTTTGATTGCTTTATTTTTATAGTTTACCTGATGAGGTTTGAGTTGAATCATAGGCCTCAGTTTAAGATACACTATCGTCATGAGTCTGGGTCAGGATTCTCTCTTATTTATTTTTTGATTTATTCCTTTTTCTGTTTCCCCCACACCCATTTTTCTGCCTGTCATAAGCCACTGTTTTATATGACGGAAACATTTTTGATTTCATGCATGTTGTAAGTGAATTAAGAGTTTGGATCATTCGTTTATCTGAATGATGCTGTGGTATATATAGTGTTTTTTGCCTTACTTTTTCCACATCTGTCCATGGTGTTATCTGTTCATCTAGTTTATTTCCTCTAACTGCTGAATTGTTTTCCAGAATGTTTCCTATCAACACTATCACCGCCTTCCTCTTCACGTTACTCACCCTCACCCTTTTCTCTGTGTTCAGCCTGGATGAGTCATTTGTACCATACCCTCTAGCCTCTGCTAGCTGCTCTTTGAACTAAAATCACCTGTTTCTCATTTGAGCAGAGGAGTTTAGGTTTCAGACCTTATAGCAGGGAATCTCTGAAGAGGTTTCTTCCCATATTGAAAGAAAAGGGCATGATGAAAGTAATGTGAGATTCTATTTTAGTCTAGAATAATTGTGACGATTGGTGACAAATAGAGAGCTATCAGCGGAGAAAATAAATATCAAAATGATGTTGCTTTCATCAAGAAAATATTGGTAACAAAGAGGCATTATGACTATAAGGATAGTAGAAAAATAATTCATGTGAACTCAAACATCATTTCTCCTCCCAAAAGACCCCATCAATGTGGCTCATTTGGAAATAGTTTAAAGCATAATTTAGATTTATACAGTCATAATAAAAATAATGCTTCAAAGAATGTTAAAAAGATTACCAAATGATAAAATGTCTTCCTATACTAACCATGAGTGTATTCCAACAGGAGAGAAATTATGGGACCATAATCAGTGTAGAAAAATCCTCACTTATAAACAAGTATCCTCTCGACCACAAAAAGTTTATCCCGGGGAGAAACCTTATGAATGCGCTGAATTTGAAAAGATATTCACCCAGAAGTCACAGCTCAAAGTACACCTGAAAGTTCTTGCGGGAGAAAAGCTCTATGTATGTATTGAATGTGGGAAGGCTTTTGTACAGAAGCCAGAATTTATTATACACCAGAAAACCCATATGAGAGAGAAACCCTTTAAATGCAATGAATGTGGAAAATCCTTTTTTCAAGTGTCGTCTCTCTTCAGACATCAGAGAATTCATACCGGAGAGAAACTCTATGAATGCAGCCAATGTGGGAAAGGCTTCTCTTATAACTCAGATCTCAGTATACATGAGAAAATTCATACTGGAGAGAGACACCATGAATGCACTGACTGTGGCAAAGCGTTCACACAAAAGTCCACACTCAAGATGCATCAGAAAATCCACACAGGCGAGAGATCCTATATCTGTATTGAATGCGGACAGGCCTTCATCCAGAAAACTCATTTGATTGCACACCGAAGAATTCATACTGGAGAGAAGCCATATGAGTGCAGTAACTGTGGCAAATCCTTCATTTCCAAGTCACAACTTCAGGTCCATCAACGCGTTCACACGAGAGTGAAGCCCTATATATGTACCGAATATGGGAAGGTCTTCAGCAATAATTCCAACCTCATTACACATAAGAAAGTCCAAATTAGAGAGAAATCTTCCATATGTACTGAGTGTGGGAAGGCCTTTACCTACAGGTCAGAGTTGATTATTCATCAGAGAATTCACACTGGAGAGAAACCGTATGAATGCAGTGACTGTGGAAAAGCCTTCACTCAGAAGTCAGCACTCACAGTGCATCAGAGAATTCATACAGGAGAAAAATCATATGTATGCATGAAATGTGGACTGGCCTTCATTCAGAAGGCACATTTGATTGCACATCAAATAATTCATACTGGAGAGAAACCTTATAAATGTGGTCACTGTGGGAAATTGTTTACTTCCAAGTCACAACTGCATGTTCATAAACGAATTCACACAGGAGAAAAACCCTACATGTGCAATAAATGTGGGAAGGCATTTACCAACCGGTCAAATCTCATTACACATCAGAAAACTCATACAGGAGAGAAATCTTATATATGTTCCAAATGTGGAAAGGCCTTCACCCAGAGGTCAGACTTGATTACACATCAGAGAATCCATACTGGGGAGAAGCCTTATGAATGCAGTACTTGTGGAAAAGCCTTCACTCAGAAGTCACACCTCAATATACACCAGAAAATTCATACTGGAGAGAGACAGTATGAATGCCACGAATGTGGGAAAGCCTTCAACCAGAAATCAATACTCATTGTTCATCAGAAAATTCATACAGGAGAGAAACCCTATGTATGCACCGAGTGTGGAAGAGCTTTCATCCGCAAGTCAAACTTTATTACTCATCAAAGAATTCATACTGGAGAGAAACCTTATGAATGCAGTGACTGTGGGAAGTCCTTTACCTCTAAGTCTCAGCTCCTGGTGCATCAGCCAATTCACACAGGAGAGAAACCCTATGTGTGTGCCGAGTGTGGGAAGGCCTTTAGTGGCAGGTCAAATCTCAGTAAGCACCAGAAAACTCATACCGGAGAGAAGCCCTACATCTGTTCTGAATGTGGGAAGACCTTTCGACAGAAGTCAGAGTTGATTACACATCATAGAATTCATACTGGAGAGAAACCGTACGAGTGCAGTGACTGTGGGAAGTCTTTCACTAAAAAATCACAGCTCCAAGTGCATCAACGAATTCACACCGGAGAGAAGCCTTACGTGTGTGCTGAGTGTGGGAAGGCCTTTACTGACAGGTCAAATTTAAATAAACATCAGACAACACACACTGGAGACAAACCCTACAAGTGTGGCATCTGTGGGAAAGGCTTTGTTCAGAAATCAGTGTTCAGTGTCCATCAGAGCAACCATGCTTGAGAGAAACAGTGTGGGAAAACCCCACTGAGGGTTGGGTCTGATTGTACACTGTTGCATGCATGCAGCAGAAAAATATGTATATTATTGTAAATAAAAACAACCACATCAGAATGTCACACATGGCTGTTCTGGAGAGGGCCCCTGAGAAGGCACTGAATGAAGCGAGAGACCCTTCCTACATTGTCACCATCCCCAGTAAACCTTGGGGTATTATTCATACTGACAAGGAACCGAGTCAATTTGGTGAATAGGAAAAGCCTTCTCATGAAAACGACAATAGAACACTGTTACCAAATTCTTCATAAGAAAGATCATATTATGTTAATGATAATCCTATTTACTGTGGATTAGGTATAGTGCCAACAAATTGAATGATAAAGCAACATAATACGTAGTTATTTTGATAGTGATGAATCCTAAGTTATGTAAGTTGTTCGTTGTGGAACACATTGTGTAACAGACTCGTGGGTGTTTTTCTTTCTTGTTCAAATTTACCACAGTTGGTCATTTCCAACCCTCATTCAATATTTCTATCAAGAAAGAGATGCTACAATGAAAAAAGAAAAAACCTTCATGTATACAGATATAAACCTCAGAATGTATGTTGAGTCCCCATTGTCATCTAGCACCAAGACTTGCAACCCCCTCAGTATCTACCAGGACTGTCTCTCAACCTCACAGGCCCTCAGCACGTTGTGTTTTGACCCCCAGCACAGTGTCTTGTGAACTCCCATCGCCTTCAAGAAAGCTTCTGAGGTAAGAATTTTCAGGTCATCTGAGACAACTTAAATCTCCCTTCTGCTTTCACAGTTCTTCCAACTCAGTTGCCTTTTTTTCTTTTTTTTCATTACTTATCACTGACTTGAAGCTTAGCATTTGGCTTCCTTAATGATGTGACTTTCATGTAACAGATTAATAACTTATGTGAAAATCAACACAACCATATGGTTAGGGCTGGAAAGGACCACAATGCCTGGCTATTTTTCCCATTTTACCTTACTCTTAGATGTGTGTCACACTTCATCAGTTCCAGGAAATAGTTTCTGGAGATCTCCTCATTACCTCTTTTACAATCACCTCACTCCAGCATGATGTCTGTTACCTCCTCCCACTTGTGACCACGTCTAGTAAGGTCCACTCTCCATTCTGCGTGATGACCACTTATTACAATCCTCAGAATCGGGGACAGTGGTGTGCCCCCCGCAATACAATGGTTACTATCTCCTGATACTTTTATTACACTTCTAGCAGGATGTCTTGTGGTCCCCCTTATTGATTTTTCCCTCAGAATGATCTCCCATTACTCACCTAGCAGTATCTAACTGTCCCTAACCCAGCATGTGGGAATGCCTTCGATACGGTGGATGCTGTTGACTTCCTTCCTTTCATTCAGGTAAGGGCAGTGGCTTACAATGAACCATAATGTCCACCTTTCCCAACTGTATTTTGGAGCCTCTTCTGTCCCCTTCTTTATAGGACCCCAGTTTAAAAAAACAAAAACTAGCCCAATGTCTATTGATGCCCATTAATCACTAACACAGTGTCTGACCCCTCCTTAAATTTTGATGGTATCTCTTGGCTCCCCATTGGCCCCTGTTAATCCAATGTCTGCTGATTCCCAACTTCCCACATTGCTTCATGAGGTGCCTTAGTCACTCTTGCCTACTGTACTTTCTCCAAAATTGCATCTCCATGTTTGCTTGATCATGATCCCTGGAAGATGGTGATGAGGACGAGGTCCCAGCTTCATAGACCATTTCCTCTGAGGTCCCCCCAAGGCACAATGGAATGATGGACCCAGGGTGGGCCAAGGATGATCTGGAGATCTCAGGAGATCACAAGCTGGGCTTCCTGTCTACTACATGAGTAGTGGTGTGAGCAGAACAGTGAAAGCTGTCTATGTTGGTTCAAATTCTGGTGCCAACACTGATCCACGTAGGGACTCTCAGCCTTCACAGAAACCTCCTCTGGGCCTCAATTGCCTCACTTGTAAAATGGGATTATGGGAGAATGAAGTGACTTTTTTTGGGTCACCTGATAGAGGGGATCTGAGCCAGCAGGGCCCAATGAGAGCATCCTGTTAATATTAGTCATCAGTCAACATAAGCATCTGACTATCCTCCGTATGCCCAAGCCTTATGAAGGGAAACAATTTGTTGTAAATGACTTTTGATTATTTCTCTTATATATGTATTGTAACAATATTATAGTACTTACATATATGTGTATATGCATATACCCATATGTACAGAAGGCTTTATTTTTTAGAGTGGTTTTAGGTTCAAAGCAAAATTGGGTAGAAATTACAGAGGTTTCCCATATATCCCCTGATCCACATATGCATAGCCTCCCACATTATCAGCATTCCTCTCAGAGTAGTATATTTGTTATAATTGGTGAACCTCCACTGACACTCATTGTCACCCCAAGTCTCTAGGGTTCATTCTTGGTGTAACACCATAGAATGTATCTTGTACTTTCTGCTTGTTGGAACAAGTGGATCATGGCACGTATCCACCGTTATACACAGAGTAGTTTCACTGCCCTAAAAATCCTCTGTGTTCTGCCTGTCTTCCCTTTGTCCCCTCTAACCCTGGCAACCTTTTTTCTGTCTCCATAGTTTTACCTTTTACCGTTTATATCATATAGTTGAAATCATACAGGTTGTAGCCTTTTCAGATTGACTTCTTTCACTTAGTAATGCAGATTTAAGTTTCCTCCATGTCTTTTCATGGCTTGATATTGCACTTCTTTTTAGCGCCAAATTATGTTCCATTGTCTGGAGGTTTATTTATTCACCTACTGAAGGACTGTCGGATGCTTCCAAGTTTTGGCAATTATAAGGAAAGCTGCTATAAATATCTGTGCAGGCTTTTTGTGTGGACATAACTGAAATATTTTTAATGTTATATTTATTGAGGTATAATTTACATTGAGTAATATTCACACTTTTTAGTGTAGAGCTCTGAGTTTTGACAATTGTATCTAATCATGAAATCAACATTACAATCAAGAGAAAGAACTGCTCTAATTTCTTTCTTATCATATATATGCATGAAATGTGGACTGGCCTTCATTCAGAAGGCACATTTGATTGCATATCAAATAATTCATACTGCAGAAAAACCTTATAAATGTGGTCACTGTGGGAAATTGTTTACTTCCAAGTCACAACTCCATTTTTCATAAATGAATTCACACAGGAGAAAAACCCTACATGTGCAATAAATGTGGGAAGGCATTCACCAACCGGTCAAATCTCATTACACATCAGAAAACTCATACAGGAGAGAAATCTTATATATGTTCCAAATGTGGAAAGGCCTTCACCCAGAGGTCAGACTTGATTACACATCAGAGAATCCATACTGGGGAGAAGCCTTATGAATGCAGTACTTGTGGAAAAGCCTTCACTCAGAAGTCACACCTCAATATACACCAGAAAATTCATACTGGAGAGAGACAGTATGAATGCCACGAATGTGGGAAAGCCTTCAACCGGAAATCAATACTCATTGTTCATCAGAAAATTCATACAGGAGAGAAACCCTATGTATGCACTGAGTGTGGAAGAGCTTTCATCCGCAAGTCAAACTTTGTTACTCATCAAAGAATTCATACTGGAGAGAGGCCTTATGAATGCAGTGACTGTGGGAAGTCCTTTACCTCTAAGTCTCAGCTCCTGGTGCATCAGCCAATTCACACAGGAGAGAAACCCTATGTGTGTGCCAAGTGTGGGAAGGCCTTTAGTGGCAGGTCAAATCTCAGTAAGCACCAGAAAACTCATACGGGAGAAAAGCCCTACATCTGTTCTGAATGTGGGAAGACCTTTCGACAGAAGTCAGAGTTGATTACACATCATAGAATTCATACTGGAGAGAAACTGTATGAGTGAAAGAGACTTTTTAGTCCCTTTTCCCACTCCCAGACCTTGGCAATCACCAGTCTGTCTCTATAGTTCTGCCTTTTCCATAATATTGTATAAGTGGAGTCACTGTGTGTGTGTGTGTGTGTGTGTGTGTTTTGTATGTGTATATATATCTCCTTTTGAGTCGGAGTGCTTTCATTTAACGTGATGTGTTTGAGATTCATCCATATGGTTATATGAAAACAAATGGAAAATAAGGTGATGAAAAGATGCTCAACATCTTTAATTATCAGGAAAATCCAAATTAAACCGCAATGAGATACTGCTATAGAATGGGCTTTTAGAATGGCTAAAAATGAAAATGTACCATACATTGGCGAGAATACAGACTGATGGAAATTTCCCTGCGTTGCTTGTAGGAATATAAAATGGTCTGTCCACTCTGCACAAAAGTTTGGCAGCTTCTTACACTATTAACCATACATTGATCATATGACTCAGCAACCCCACACTTAGGTGTTTACCTTAGATGAAATAAAAATTCTGTTTACATGAAAACCTACACTCCAATGTTCACAGCAATTGTATAATTGCCAAAATGAGGAAACAACACAAATGTACATCAGTGGATGAGAGATTAAACACATTGTGTGCACCGATTCTATGGAGGGCTGCTCAGATATAAAAAATGGTTTATTGACACCTGCTACAACATGGATGAATCTCAAAAGTACTGTTATATTTTACCATGTGATAACTTGAATTACATTTGATAAAAGATTTATAAATGTAAATAACTAGATTTATATATTTTAATTTTATATGCACCTGTCATCACATACTATAGGAAATTGTGTCTACAGTATGTTATATAGCATATTGTACTATTTATTACTGTATATTCCTTCAATAAAATAGTTTGTATTTTATAGAATAGTACCTGTTTTATAGTATATATTTTATTTTATATGATTACCTAATTTTAATATTTTACATATCAAACTTTCACATAATATTTTGGTTATTTCTACTTTCACATAGTTGCATTTAATGTTTGTAGTGTAAAGATAGAACTACAATAAAAGAGGCTATAGGGTCCAGAGAGCCCGCAGTTGGAGTTAGTCAACATTTTTATTTGTCAGGCATCTCAATTCTGGCTGTTTTAACATCAAGGATGCTTTCTCTGGCTTTGAGCCTTTTCATTGACCGTTTTGAGAGTACTCTGCTTCTCCAGCACCCATGCATCTTGCTTTCCTCTTCCACCTTTGGAGTGCTTCCACCCCCATGGCATCCTTCCATTGAGGTAACACATCTCTAGGCTCACTTGCTGCTCCCTTATTTTGTACTATATTTGCATTGCAAATACTACTACTATCTGACCTGATTAAATATTCCTTTTTTTGGTTTCTCATCCCTCTTCCTCACTGGATCATCAGCCTTATGAGACCCAGACTTTGTCTGTCTTGTTTCTGCTGTATCCCAGGCACCCAGCACGGTGCCAGCTCAAAGCAGACGCTCAGTACAAGCTTGTTAAATGGATGAATGAATAATAGCAATAATATTGAGGTTGACCAAATGCCCCACACAGATTGGTTACATGCGTGGGGAAGTTGGTGGGGTGGGTTCAGGTCTTCTAATTCAAGATTTAATGCCTCCTCCCACCATGGTCCAGCACACCCAGCTCTAACTCCACATCAGGGCAGTGCCCAACTGAGTATCCTACCTACCTACATTCCCCACTGTTTACAAGATCTCCTAACTTAGCCTCCTCCTGGTCACAGTGTCAGGCCACTGTAGAGGGGGAAAGGGGCAGTAGTGGGAGATCCATAGGCAGGGGGCCACTCCCATCAGCATCTACCCTAGCACTTTCTATCCTGTATCCCATTGTCAGTGACATCTGCTCCACCTCCTCCACTTGAGCAGCCGCTGGAAATTGTGGAACCCCAGGAGCAAGAGGAATGTGGCAGGGCTGAGAGTTCTGGGGCTCAGGTGCCTTGTTGGATAATGGATGTGACGCAGTGTGGCAGATATTGACCCTGTGGCCAAAGTCAGCTTAAAGCCAAGGTTGTCATGGACACTTCCCATAATGCCAGGATGAATCACACCCTCCACCCTTAGCATTCAACTGGGCTACTAGTGCCAAATAGTGACTATTTTTTTAGTTTTTTCAGATGGAGTCTCGCTCTGTCACCCAGGCTGGAGTGCAGTGGCGCGATCTTGGCTCACTGCAACCTCTGCCTCCCAGGTTCAAGGGATTCTCCTGCCTCAGCCTCCGAGTAGCTGGGATTACAGGCACCCGCCACCACACCTAGCTATTTTTTTTTTTTTTTTTTTTTTTTGAGACGGAGTCTCTCTCTGTCCCCTGGCTGGAGTGCAGTGGCGCAATCTCGGCTCACTGCAAGCTCTGCCTCCCGGGTTCCTGCCATTCTCCTGCCTCAGCCTCCCAAGTAGCTGGGACTACAGGCGCCTGCCACCGCGCCCGGCTAATTTTTTGTATTTTTAGTAGAGACGGGGTTTCACCGTGGTCTCGATCTCCTGACCTTGTGATCCGCCCGCCTCGGCCTCCCAAAGTGCTGGGATTACAGGTGTGAGCCACCGCGCCCGGCCTAATTTTTTGTATTTTTAGTAGAGACGGGGTTTCACCACATTGGCCAGGATGGTCTCGATCTCCTGACCTCATGATTTGCCCACCTCAGCCACCAAAGCTTTGGGATTACAGGCCTGAGCCACCGCACCCAACCCAATGTGACTATTATCTATGGTATATCCTACCCCACCCCACTATACTCTACTCCACATTCCTCATATCATACCATACCATACACCATGCCATACCATACCACTTACAGTTATACTTAATTCTACAATTACATTGTTTCTATTAATGATTTTAAATATAATCAACACAATTATACTTTATAACAAATATCAGAATCCTTGTCATTATTTATTCTATGCCTCTAAATTATTCAGATATCATAAATAGCAATGTATCAATTCCGATGCTGAGAAATTCTCTGTCTCTGCTAGTTTCTGCCACCTTCAGGTGTTTGTTATATAAACACAGGAGTCCCATCCCTGGGGTGATGTTTTCCACCCTCTGTGAATTCAGCACAGTTAGGTTGTAACCTTAGTGATTTTATTATGGTGTTATTTTAATATTTATTATAACAAGGAATACTGCTATTAAAACAAAAAATGGTGTTCTCTGTTTACATTTGTGAAAAGGACAATATAAGAAGCACATTAGTACAATCATTTGAGTTATATTAAGTTTGTGCCTACAATAAATGCCAATCCTGAAAACCCATGGTGTGTTCCATTATATTGTGGAAAATGGGCACATTTACAATACAGTGTTGACTGCTGCTATGGTCTAAATTTGTGCCTCCCCCCACCAAATTTACATATTGAAATCAGTTTCCCATTGAGATAATATTAAGAGGATGGAGTCTTTGGTAGGTGATTAGGTCATGAGGGTTTTGCTTTCAGGACTGCAATTCATGGGCTTACAAAAGAGGGCCAAGGGAGTTTCTCTTCCTTTCTGCCATGCGAGAACACAGCAAGCAGTCGCCATCTATGAAGCAGACAATCCTCGCCAGACACTGAATGTGCTGGCATCTTGATCTTGGACTTTTCAGCCACCAGAACTGTGAGCAATAAATTTTTCTTGTTTATAAATCCCCCAGCCTAGGGATTTTGTTATAGCATCCCAAACAGACTAGGACAACCATATTAATTATTTGTCGCTAGTTGTATGTAACATATTACTCAAAACTTAGTGGCTTAACGTAATAATAAACACTTATCCTCCCACACACTCTCTGAGGGCTGGAAATCTAGGCACAGTTTAGCTAGGTGATTCTGGCTCAGGAACTCTCATGAGGTTGCAATCAGGATGTTGGCCGGAATTGCAGTCATCTGAAGGCTAACTGGGGCTAATTGGATCTGATTCTAAGCTCACATGACTATGAGCAGAAGGTGAAAGCCTCAGTTTCTCACCTCATGGAACCCACCATAAGAATACTTGAGTGTGTTCACCACATAGTGAATGTATTGGTTACAGTGGTCAATTCTATTTATCGTGAAAGAGGACTTTGTACAGAGTTTGAATATCAGGAGATAAGATTGATTGAGGGCAATCTTGGAGGCTGGCTACCACACTGATATTGTGGTTATTTGCATTTATGTTACCATTATCGTTGCAATTGATACCACTGTTGAATAATGACAATCTTGTAACCCAGAGGGAAATAGTCTGCACATTATAAGGTCTTTGTGAAGCATAAATGATGTGGCACCCAGTACACAGTGCTAATTGTGATGACAATAATGATGACAGCAGATTTTAGTTAAGTGTTTAATGTGTACCAGGCCATGTTCTAAGTTCGTTCAATCCTCTAATGCTTGAGATGAGCACAATTATACTTGTTTCCCGCACAAAGAATGTGTCACGGAGGAATAAAGGAATTTTCCAAGATCACAAAACTTGTAAATAGCACAGGGAAATTCAAACCCAGGCTGGCTGACTACAGAGTCTATTCTATTAACCCCTATGCAATGCTGCACCTGAAAGGACATCATTACTGTGATCACTCCCAGGCTTGGTTATAGTGTATGTGATCATGCTGTAGTTATAAAGTAGTACAGTGGTAATAGTGTAGCCATAATACTTCTCCTGAGAAGGCTGGTTACTCCTGCATCCCCGCCCCATAGGAAGAGGACATTGTTAACATCATCATTATCATTATTTTAATATTATAACCCTGCCTATTATAACAGTGACATACACTTACATCTTTACATGATATGGCTTTATGTCTTACTTACTCTCCTGGGAGTCTTTCCCTAAGATTTATAAACCTAAAATCCTAAACCACTCCCTGACTGAATGGACCCCCTTGTGGCCAAGGGGACCCCAGAAAACTCTTTTTGTTGTTGTTGTTTTTGAGACAGAGTTTTGCTCTTGTTGCCCAGGCTGGAGTGCGGTGGCACCATCTTGGCTCACTGCAACCTGTGCCTCCGAAGTTCAAGGGATTCTCCTGCCTTAGCCTCCCGAGTCGCTGGGACTACAGGCATGCACCACCACGCCCAGCTAATTTTGTATTTTTAGTAGAGATGGGGTTTCTCCATGTTGGTCAGGCTGGTCTTGAACTCCCAGCCTCAGGTGATCTGGCTCCCTCAGCCTCGCAAAGTGCTGGGATTACAGGTGTAAAGCCGCCGTGCCCGGCCCCCAGAAAACTCTTAAATACTTAGTTCCCAGCCATGACAGGATGGAAGGTTAGACAGGCCTCATTATACCCTTCTCTTTTGTGGTTTAAATATAACAACTGACCAACATGAATGTTAAAACAGAGATCATAAGATTGACAGAACAGATGCTTTGTGGCAATAAGACATAAACTGGACGCAAGGCCATGCCAGGCAAGGAATAGGTCACATCTCCCTATACTTAAGGAATAAATTATTTTCTGACCAGGCGCGGTGGCTCACGCCTGTAATCCCAGTACTTTGGTAGGCTGAGGCGGGAGGATCACCTGAGGTCAGGAGTTCGAGACCAATCTGACCAACATGGAGAAACCCGTCTCTACTAAAAATATAAAATTAGCTGGGCGTGGTGGCACATGCCTGTAATCTCAGCTACTCGGGAGGCTGAGGCAGGAGAATCACTTGAACCCAGAAGGCGGAGGTTATAGTGAGCTGAAATCATGCTTCTGCACTCCAGCCTGGGCAACAAGAACGAAACTCCGTCTCAAAAAAAAAAAAAAAAAAAAAAAAAGAATAAAGTATGTTCTAACTGCCACAAGGTTTTTTTTTTTTTTCCTCTCTGGCAGCTAAACAAGCACTGGCCTCAACATAAACAATATTAAAACAATTTTCAGCTCCACCAGATGCTGACTGACCCCACCCCCTATTCCACCAGCTGTAACTATAGCTTT